GAATTTCTGTCGAAGGCCTCAATTAGATATGATTCCCCAAGCTCTTATCTAACTAGATATAGAGAAACGCTTTCTTATCTTCCTTTCCATTTCGTTTTCGCAAAACCCTTCTTTGTTTATTGCTATCTAGTTTCTTACTTTTCTTTACTCTCTTCGCTTATTCTTCTGTAAAGAAAAAAAGTTTCAGGGCTGAATTCAATTAGAAAACCATCAGAAGAATCTTTTGCGCTTGTTACGCCGACGATGCTGTATCCGCTTCGCTGTACCGATATCGGAAAGACGAGATAAGGATAATGTAATCCCCAGTTCATTGTACTATAAATGAGAAATTATGGATCTCTGTGCGGCTGCCTTTCATTCGTTCGCTTTAATTTAGAATGACGTCCCGTAGAACTGTTACGAGTCTTCGAACTCGTTAACTTTATCAATTTTAATTCTGATGTAATTTTTTTTTTGTTTTTGTAGCCAAAGCAAGAATGGATATTTCTCTCGAACAGCATTGTCAAGAATAGTCTATTCTTACTGAATTTAAAATGCTTGAAATATAGATCAGTATTCCGTGAACTACTCGAACATCTCAGCATATGAGTTTGATAATTCAAGAGCTTACTTCCGAATAAATGTCTACTTTCTAAAATCAACTTCGACAAATCAATTCGGACAGAAGAAATTATTAATATATTTTGCAGAATGTCTAATCGGTAGCACCTGCGCAGTATCGAAATGTAATAGCCGTTGTAATCTTCCAGCGATCAATTTCCATACTATCGCATTCGAATCAATCCAATTATAATGTTCATGAATAATTTACATAGCTAACGTCCTAATCATCTAATCCATCCTCGTGTACCCATTGCAGCAGCGCATACAAAAAATAAATTACATTTGGTATATGCATGCATCCTCCTCCTATTCGATCGGCGTAGAATAGCGCGTCAACGACAAGGTGTATATCTCTGTGCAGTTGCGTTGCGTTGCGCGTCTCAGTAGTGCAATCGAGCTGCGCCGAATACATGGCGCAGGCTCGTATTAACTCGGCGAGAAACGATACAACGCGTGTATATACACGTGTCCATTCTGCCGAAACAGTATACGCGCCCGGCCGCGCCTGCACGTTAACCGATTGCAACGCCGCTTATATATATCCAATGTTCTCTCACTCATTTTTATTCATGCGGGACAGAGATACTGCTGTCGATTGTCCGTCTCGTTAGAGCCATGAAGATCAATTTTGATGAACCAAGCGTTTATTGTTGTCGTCGATGATTTATCAAATTTAAATTGATCGCCATTGGTCAATTGGAATTATTTACAGTTTTGTCGAGTGAATGAGATTAAAGCATTTAACGAGGTAGAGCAAATTTACGTCCTCCAAAAACCATTCTCCACGCTTTCAATTCGAATGAACAATACCTAAAATCTCCCAATACAGTAGTCAACAGCGATCGCATAGCCATTACAGAGCTCACACACTAGGAAGATACAGAACACTCTCGGCTCTTTCTCGTGTGCATAAAGTTGAGAAGGTGTTGGCCGCCGCGAATGGGAGCACACCCCCGAGGCCACTTCTAGGGGAGGAGGGCCCAGTTAGCGGCTAACTTTCGCGCACTACGTCGACACACTCTCGTTAAATAAATACCAAAATAAAAGGGGAGTGGTACTACTGCTGGCCATCATTCTGTAGCTCCGAACCCGTGCTGCCGCTGCTTGCGGCTAAGAGACAGACTATATACCACAGACTTTCTCTCGATATACATGCGACCCCACGTGTGCGCGCAACTAGGGAGTTTCAAATGGCTGTTCTGGTGCGCGCTTGTCCACGCAAACCTTGCAAACGCGTAGCGTTTGCCAGTTTTAATTTGTGTTGCGTTCCTCGAACGTCAAGTTCGTGGGCGACATGTCTATTGTGGTATGCCTTTCGGTAAAGCACCGTCGATACTTTCGGAATTCGCGAATTGCAAGCGATGACGAATAATTTTCCGTCGATCAGTCAGTCGCGTGTCAGCTTGACTTATACGCTGATTAACGTGGCAACTCCCGTAATCAAACAGTTTGCTTCTGCCAATGCACAAAAACATGCGTATTGAAATATATAAAATATCGAACAAAGTAACACCCATACGTACACGCAGCATTTGTAATTATACAGAATTCCAAGAGGAAACAACTCGCGTTACATACATACATAAGTCATGACGTGTGCGAGAGTACGATCCATAAATTACAATGCCACTCGCTGTACGAAAGCCCATTGAAACTCGGCAAAGTTAAATTCATAACATTAAACGTGCCACTCTTATATGCGCGTAAAACTCGAGCGGCTCGCGGGGGCGCGAATAAGTCTAGAAATAACACATACACGCAAGGCCGCAGTACTCTCTTGTGCGCGCGACTCGTAATCGCGACGTTTGATTGTATCCATTATGCCGGTGTGTAGAAGTGCCTAATGTGTAAGTTTGACTCGACTCAACTCGACGATAGGCAACTATGGCTCGTGCTCGCTTTAAAACGGATTCCCAAACGATCATTATGCTCTCTTTCGCAAGCCGGAGCCTAGATAGCAGCACCAACTTCGGGAATAAACGTTAAAACAGCTGCTATACTGCTCGAGAGCTCTCGTTCATATCCTTTCTTCCTTTTTTTCCTATTGGCTGCTTTTTTTTATTCGTACGCTCAGTTGCGCTTGCAGGCTAATTGTCTGTTTAAATTTCTTTTTTTCCACGATTGTCCATGTCGTGCACCCAGGTCGTTTGTTTTTACGTGCCTGATGGAATTTTTAATTATTAATTTTTAATTAAGCCATGTGATAAACCGTCTTTTTTACGAAGCTTAATGTCGAGAGATTGCGTGGAATGCGCGCGCGCACGTGAGTGTATGTGGTGTGTGGTGTGTCTGTGTGTATGTGTATATATATGTATATCGAGAAAGTCGTTTATTGTACCGATGAACGTGAACACAAAACTGTCCGAGTGATCATTACGTTTTACCGAAGATTAATTTTCAATGCAGCCAAGAGTTACGAAGTTTAATAACGAACCAATCCTCGATCCAGAATTTGAATAATTTACATTTTTCGTGTACGAAAGAGCGCCTCCCTCTGTCTTGCGCGCATGTTAAATATAAAACTCGCGGGACAGGTTCCTTACGATGATTATTTTTGGAGTTTGCACAAGCAACATTCATTTAAATTATCGATCTCTCGTATGTGTCATCCCCAGAGGGTGGAGGGATCGTGCTCCGTTAACATTATTCATACGAATGCAATCAACTCATTTGCTGTATGAATGCCGACAATCTTCTGTCAGTTTAGCCGCTGCTGCTATAATACTCTCTCATTTCAACGGATTGCCATTTTTTTGCAACTGCTGTAGTTTCACGCAGGAACCTCATAATTCGGTTTCGTACTGTGAAAAAGTCGGGATCACTCCGACTATTATAATATTTAATCTACGTGGATTTTTGCGAGAGATGAATCGAAATAGTTTGCTTCTATTGAAACCGTTTATTGCAATATGCTACCTTATTCTCACTAGCAATATTCGCTGCTACTATGTATGAAAAAAACTAAAAGAACATTGAATAGCAGGCGATTAAATTGGAGCTTTTCATAAATGGCATTTATTTTCAATATTTGACTAACAAACTAACTAAATGCACGTACTTTCAATCATTGAAAAGAAATAAGACATAAACTAACTGGAAAGTGTCATTTTTGAATGAACACCACCTATAATAAATAAATGATTAAAATTTCGTATACACTTCAATTCAATTTGATAAGCAGAATCGGAGTATATGAATACACACTCGTGTGTGTGTGAGTGTGTGTGTATGTGTGTGTGTGTGTGTGTGTATCCGCAATATACACAGAGCCATACATCAATAGAGTGAGCGGGAGAATTCTCGCCGCACCGTCCATTATTAAATTACGCTTTCTCTCTCTCCCCGGCGAAAGGCACGTATATACCTGGTTGCAGCAGCAGGTGAAAAGCCTCATATCTCGGTGCGCGTTCTCAAGACTAGTATAGCTGGATGCCAGGAATAGTCGGACTTATCGATCCCCCGGGGCATCGCATCCTCGTTCTACTCACACTATCTCTCTCTCTCTCTCTCTCTCTCTCTCTCTCTCTCTCTCTCTCTCTCTCCTCTCTCTCTCTCTCTCTCTCTCCTCTCTCTCTCTCTCTCTCTCCTCTCTCTCTCCTCTCTCTCTCCTCTCTCTCTCTCTCTCTCTCTCTCTCTCTCTCTCTCTCTCTCTCTCTCTCTCTCTTCCACAGGAACTCTGCTGTAGCATACCTAGGCTCAATTATATCGTGCCCTGCCTACCGCGATGCTGCCCCGTACATAGCGAGTTGTGCAACTCTCTGCAATTTCGAGGAAATATCTTTGGCATCGGATGATCGTCATCCAAAACTGAACGCTAGTAGGCAGCTGTGCTACAACTAGCGATAGTTCCCAAAAGTTTTCGATATGCCAAACGTCATTACTACAGCGCGAATAGTTTAGAGTCAATAGCAGCATAGTATTTTCATCGTTTAATAACCATTATTTACTTCGGTAGACAATTTGGATGGTAGAATACTTCCGCGTTGTTATCGGAGAATACATATCTGATAACTTTTTACACAGATCTTCAAATGTTTTGAAATGTTTTATCTAACTTTTTTGACAAATTAGGCGAGCTTGATAAAGTCACATCGAAGAGCTATTATGACATAAACAAGTACTTCCTCTACTAGCTGATAGCAAAATGTGTCATAATTTTATCTGATTTCCGTGAGCACGCGAAAGTTCGTGGCTGAAATTAATATTCCTTCGCAAGAGGGCAAAAAGACGCAAGATACTGTCAATTTGAGCGACATTTCAATTAACCGTCAGCTGAAAACTATGATGCCCTCTTTACAAACTCCCAAATTAAACAATTGATCAGATAAAGATAATTTTTCACATCGCATATAATCAATAAATACTAACGTAACACTTTCATCTTGTTTGCTTTCCAGAACTCTAACACTCCTACTAACACTGCCTTCCAAGAAGAGCAATCTACTACTACTACTAACTAATTTGACCATATCTGCGATGAAAATCAACATATCCAATCCTTGAAAGGCAAACGAATAACTATTCCAACAAGAAATCCAATAAAAAGACTGAAAGCCAACGATAATTATAAGCAAGAGCGTAATCGACCATGCAAATGGTAGAAGATGCGCAGAACCAACAGCACAGGCCTGAGGCTGGACCTTACCGAGAACACGCCAGATAGCTCGTTGAGCGTATCAGGTGGCAGACTGCCGAATTTAGTGGTCGAGCATGCCGAACAGCTAAATAGCAAGCTACCGAACCTCGTCGAGGGCTCAATGGACTATGGTAGCGAGCGTAGGTCTTCCCGTTACTACGAAGCAGCCGGTGCTGCCGCCGCCGTCTATCACCAAGATATGGTCGGTGGCTCATCACTCAATTATGGCGTCGCCGAGAGTGGTTATCTCGATCGCGGCTATCATCCTATCAGGAATCCTGGTGGCGGTACAGGTACTTACGATCGCAAGATTGCTGCCGTCGCTGCAGCTGCTGCCGTTGCCTACGAACGTGAGAATCTCTATGATAGTCGAATTTATCAAGACGAGGCAGCACTCAGGTACGATCGTGGTAGACCCGACAGAACGTACCAGGAATCCGATCTCGACGCACCTTACGACAGAGGTGATCCCGTAAAGTCGGTGAGGACTTACGTCGATCCAGTGTCCGATGGAACAAGACGTTACTCGCGCGATTTAACGGATTATGAGTTTGCACGTTACGCGGAGGAGACGTTGAAACTCGAACCGAAAAAACCTTGCACAAAAGTATCGTACGAGGTTGCGTCAACTAAAGGTTACGACTCCGGAATCAAGACTAGCAATCATGATCAGGGTTACGATTTGGCGACTCAACAGTCGGCCTACAAAATGTATGGTACACTACCACGCTATGACGCCAGTGGGAAGTATGACAGTGGTGAATACGTTGGTGACAATGATACAGGAGTTGCCAGTGGTTACGAAACCACAGGTAGGGCCAAGGTTTACGAAGGAATTAAGTACGAGCTGACCACTTCCAAGAGTTACGAGAGAGCTGCGACTTCGTCGAGGTATCCTGAGGCGAGTACAATCAAACTCGGCGAAAGCTCGTCCGGTACATTGGGAGGCTATTCGAGAAAAAACCATGAAACCGAAGAGACTAGCACTGGCAGTAACACTAACACGCAGGAAAAGATGAACGGCTACAGAAAGAATAATTTCGAAGCTTATGGAGTTTATTCCGATCCTGAGGACGACCATGGATTTGTTACGGATAAGAAGCAACCCCAGTATACTTACAAGGGGGTGGTAGTTAATGCCAGCGGTGAGTCGAGTGTCGTCGAGCAAAAAAGGGCGGCTAAAGAAGCCGCGCAGACTGATATGCAAGGCAGCCCCTGGTGCAGGCCCACCATACTGCTGTTACTGCTCGTTCTACTTGTCGTTATTTTCGTTTTCGTCGCTGGACTTCTACTCTACTTTAATTGTAAGTTTTTTGCATGTTTATGGCATGTTTGATGTTTATCGCTTTAATAGATTGTTAGAGAATATTTATTGTGATGCGCGCATCCAAAAACCTATTTTATTAGAAAATTATTGCTTGAGAGCGTAAATCATCAAGTAGTAGAGAAGTATAAACGTTTAACAGGAACTGATCTGATATAAATTAGTATAGAGAAAATATATAGTTATGTCGATTAAAAGCGAGTAAATTGTGATCAAAAGTATAAATCAAAATATAGCGTACTAGCTAATAAAACATCCATACTAAAGTTAATCCCAGTATCGAGGCAGTGGTAGTTCTTATATACGAGTACACGCAGGCGCAAGAAATTAATGTGAGAGGATTATCTTTTTATTGTATTTCAAGGTGGTAATACTCCATAAATATTAAATGATAAATGTTTATTCGGCATTAAACACACCACTGCTGGCACGCTGCGCCGACCCGCTCACATTATAAATCTGTGCGAAGAACATATAGAGCGCATAAAGCTACCCGAGGCACAATAGACGTCCAAACGACTTATAACAAATCCATAAAATCCGGAAGAGAAGTCTAACGAGCCAATATATGTTTTAACGACAAGGGCTACTGCTCAAACTTGAGTAAGTCCAACTGAAATCTGGAAGTCTCGAGTAAAAAAGGAAAAGAAAAATTTTAATCGGAAGCAAGTCGTATGTCTGTAATTAAGCCTAAACTAACGATTATTTACGAGGGCCACAATAGCGCGCGCGAGTGAAGCTGACATGTGCCGGTGATACGTTAGTCTGCGTGTGCGAGCACGTGAGAGATAGAAATGGGTGGCAATTTTATGTGTCGAATTTGATATGCTGGGCACGTAGGGTCTTTACACTGGCGAAACTGTTCGGCTGGAATTACAATGCGTCGACTCGTAAAGAACCAACGCCAAAGGGATATCTGGCGCCGCTCTCTGATAAAAAGCTTCGGCTTATTTACGAACAAATTGATCCTCTACATATATCTACTTTGGAACGGAGGAGGGCCGTGCACACATATACGCGGTTATATACAGCGGCTGCCGTTGTGTGGTAATTATCGAATTTAACTCATAAAATTTATGTCTCGATAAATATGGATCAAGCCGAATACACTTGCATTCAGTCATCGGCGTGGAATACAAAACGCGCGCAACAAAAGGACATTTAAGATTCCATGAAAGTCCAAGGGCATAGAGGGCATTGAAAAAATTACGTCTTTTATATTCAGTAGCCAGAAAAAATCTATCACTCACGCTTGCCAAGCTTCACGTTTGCTTCGCCGGAGTATCAATGTTTTTCTGCGCAAGCGCGCACACTCGGACGTCAGATCTGATTACGAAAGTCTCCGCGTAGAGAAATCAAACGAGGGGTCGTCGTGAGCGCCATCGCTGTCGCAATCAGTCTCGGTATTGTCCCAGGACCCCCGTTTGTCCTAGATTTTTCGGCGGGCAATAATTCGATTTGCGAGCGGGAATTTTTGACTGCCAGACAGAGAGAGAGAAAGCGTGTTCGGAAAAATTCGCGATAATTGGCAAACTGTCCCCATGCGCGCGGAGCCCTTCTAATGATCGTTGTGTGTGCATGTACAGTGTTCGTTCGACAGAATACGAGTGGGATAAATTGCAAAGTCGATTTGCGCACGGGTCGAGCGATTTGATGCTGAGTGAGAGACGAGAGAATTTTTTCAAAGGTGCCACGCGATGGCAGTAATTGAATATTGCTGCTGCATGCTAGTCGCTTATAACGCTGCTTTTATTATTCTGGAAGGTATAGCTATGAATACGCGATGTATGTAAAAATGCGTAAATTGATTTTCAACGACATTTGAGGACAAAAATATTTTTTTCTTCTTTTAGCGTATTAACTACCGGTTCATGAAAGAAATTCACCGCATAAAATACGATTCTCACAATATAAAGCATCGCATTGTACGAAAGCATAATGAGTAGAGATCTCCGGAGTCCATTCAATCTAAAAAATGCTCGCATTTGTAAACGAAATGTGTGGGGGAGGGCAGGCAGGCGAGACTTGCATTGTCCGGCTTAATGCGGCCAAAAGCCAGCGGTAAGCGGTCCTTTAATTCAACGGGCAAAAAGAAACCGCCAAGTTTTGAAGGTTCTCACCACAATCCTTGGCATTGTTATCTAAATAATCCACCTTGCTCTCCATCCTGCGAAAATATGTTCATACCATAGTAAGCTATGTAACGAACATTATTTTCCTTTTTCCAAGTGTGTAGAAAAGAGGATTTTCTTGCTCACTGATGGTCATTATTCTTTTAAATAAAGCAGTTGAAAATAGTTAACTCGCTTTCTCTCTGTGTTTATATATACATATAAATTTTTTTGCTCTTTTCTCAACAAAGTTTGCTTGTAATTTAGCAACGTTTGGAACTTAAATCAGGCCTCATGTAGGTCGCGCTTCAGCCTAAGAAAACAGGAGCTAGTTACCTCTAATTACACGCAGCCGCGCGCGAGTTTCATTTCATCCTCTCTCTCTCTCCTCTCTCTCTCTCTCTCTCTCTCCTCTCTGCCATTATCCGAGGTCCACTTTCCTTTTTTCCTTCTTCTTCTTGCTCGCGTTCGGCGTGCAATTTCAAGTAGTTACGGAACGTTTACGGCCGACAAATTGCGGAGTTCCTGCATGGCAGCAGCAGCGCTCGCAATTCAGCCATTACCCGAAGATCCAATTTCGCGTCAAGGGAACGGAGAGTCTTCAAGCACTTGACGTTCAAGCCGCCACGTGGAAAAAGAGGCTTCTCTCTCCCGCGCGCAAGCGCATCTTTGTGATGAGGCACTAGCGAGAAGATCTTTCTCTCCCTCGCCTGCGCGAGCTTCTTTGTTCGTCACAAATTCGATAATTAAGAAACATTTTCTTCTCGGTGTGCTAAAGGAGCTTCACTCTTAAGGCGGCTTCCGACGTCAAAGGGGTTTTCTTAGGCTTTGAATAAATTTCGAAAGGAATTCTTCAAATTCTTTCCCGCGTGATATGAGAATGAAGCTACTTTGAAACATTAAGAGCGACTTTGCAGTTCACTTTTACGGGAAACAAGTTTTCCCATTCTCGTAGAAAACGGTCAACTAAATATATATCCTAATTCAATAATCTTTTGCCATTGTCAACCCTTCAATGCTTCGTCTGTACTGGTAATGATAATTACAATGACATTATATTTATAAATACATTATTTCTTTATTGCGACATTCTTAAGTTGCTTAAAATTTACATAGAGTATTAAACAAATATTTCTTGGCTAAGGTATTCGAAACTACCGTGGACAACGGTAATGAAGTTTAAAGTAAATAAAGAAAACGAGCGGACAGTGAAAAGGTCAAGCTGACAAACTTGTCTATGGTGAAACGAACTAGTACGGAGAAGGTAGCACAAGAGATCTATCTTTCAAAGTAGCTTTCCTCTTGACAATTTTCCTTCACCAAATACATTTCTGTTTGTAAGTTTTAATTAGAAAAATATGTTAATAAACCATGCTTCCGACTAATAAAATTAAGCTAATGGAATCAAATTCATTTTTATAATCAGTACAAAGTGTATCAGGTCAATATATTTTTTATAATCTATACAAAGTGAACGTAGAAATAGATGCACGCATGCTATCTTGTTATCGATATTATCGAATAATAAAATGAAAAATAGCAAAAAGGAGAAGAAAACAAACGTAAAACTCGACAGAAACTCGTTTCGAGTGTCTTGCTCTACTCACTCATTTATAAAGGAAAGATAAATCGAGGCTGCGTTCAAGTTTCCCTTTTTTATCGCTTGAGCGATTCCTACGTTGAATGTATAATTTAAGAGATTCTTAAACGTATAAGTAGATTTATTGAGTTTATCGGAAGTTTTAAAAAATTAAATTTTTTTTTGTAAATTGCTGAGTATTGAAAATGATTAATTCATTGACAAGTATCGTAGGATTGTCAATTACTTGTTCTGAAAATTGATCAACCGTCTTTAAAGTAATTAAAAGTAATTGTAGAAAAATTGGTAATTAAACGAGGCAACTATAATAGACCACACCAAGTTCACCACTTCATCATTACCGATCGAATCTTCGCCAGGCATTCCATCCCATGGCCATAGAAACAGCTCGCGTGCTCGACGATAATAAGCATTTCAATCAATCAATCGATTCGCCTCTCTCTCTCTCTCTCTCTCTCTCTCTCTCTTTCGCCTCCTTCTCCTCTCTCTATCGCTTCGAATTTCGGTAGCAGTGGCAAAATAAGAGCCTCTATTTCGGTACGTAAGACACGTCTTTGCATCTACCTTTACGAGAAATTTTTTATTGACCAAAAAATTCTGATGCATACGTGTGCAAAAGTTTTGCTAGTACACGGCTCGTCCTCATTAGGACGAAACTGCACGAATTATTTATTCGAAGTTTGTCGGACCGCGCACGCGAGCGATGAAAAACGCATTATCGATTTGAAGCAGCACACGCCCAGTAGATAAATTATCGGAGATATAGTCAATAGACCGATCGCGTGATCAAAATAAAGATCGTCAGAATTATTCACTAATCGCGCTTGCTACCCTTAACTCGGAGCTTGATTGGACCTTACAATGATGACTCCCTTTTGTGTTGGAATTGAGTTACCCTCAATGTGTATGTTATTATTACTATCCATTTTTGCTTATGGCTTAGATGGTGGTTAGCGTTGATTACTGCAATCCATGGATTAATAGATGTGGATTGTTATCGAAAAAATAACTTTACTGCTAATAGGTGGGGGATAAAGTAAATCAAAACTATAATCATCTGAAAATTGATCAATTATACGCATCGTCTTTATCAATAAAAATTACTCTACAGAACTGGCAATCAACCATAAACCCCTTGGAAAAGTATAAAAATCTGACTGGATCCATAAATGTTATTCGTGATATATAAAAATTAACAAGTATAAAATATTTGAATCTGTTGGAAGCTTCTAACGCAACGAGCAACATATCCGTCAATCGGTATTTGTGTGAATGACTCGTCAATCGTACGTAAAATTAACAAACAGAGCCAGGTGAATGCTTCGCTCTGTCATATGTAGATTAGGTCTGTGCGCTCGCATATTGCCTACAGGTGGTCAAAACAAGGCTGTTTGACTGTCAGTCCGCCGCTTCGATTATTGCAAATAGTCTATGACAGGTATATACGTAGCGTAGCCATATGGGTAATATCAACTTGATAGAATTTTACGATAGAAAGTAGACTCTTTTATTTCAGTGAAAAGAAAGTAGACTATTTCAAATTATACATTTACTATTATCTTCATTGAAACCGATTGCTAGAAATCTGATAATAAGATATTTCTGGAAGAAGATAATTTACCGTAATTGTATAACTTTTCCATGATGTCGCTTATAAATGGAAAGGCGAATTCGAGTATCCTATAATTTTGGTTGATTTTTAAAACAATCAAATTTTCCATCCAAGAATTGCGTTCATTCTGACGGCACATATCTCGAGATTGATCTGTCCCGACGTTTTCAAAATGAAATTGAATAATTATGCGCACTGAATTAACAAGGGATGTCGAATGACGGTGGTAATACAGTCTATGTCTTTTATTCTTCGAAAAATAACTTGTCCCAAAGAAAATAAGGATATTTTTATCCATTGTCGTGCAGAGACGGATAGAGATCTGACAAAAGTTTCGCGTAATAACGAGAAAGAAAAAGGGAACTAGAAGATTGGCGGAAAGAAGACGTGTCGTAAGCGATGAACGCGAAATTGTCATAACTAGAAAAGAGGATTTACCGTTTTATCCGCGCACAAGGGATTTGCCGCTTCGATTCTTCGCTTGACTGTCCCGCCAATAAAGAGGAATTATTGTTAATCCGCATTGGCATTGTGCGTGCGCTTGTGTGTCAAACTTTTATAAATTAAGCCACGTACCAATACAAGTACACGTTCGCGATATGTGCAATTAAATTAATATTCTCGCGTGTATTCTTTCTCGGGAGAAGAAAGTTCTTCTTTCTCTCAAAGAGAGAAAGAGTGAGAGAGAAACACATGTGCGTGAGGAATTCTTATGTTGTTCAGGCGAGCGTGAGAAATCCGTTATAAGGCGGTAGAGACGTGATCCCGAATCTCGGCAAAAGTTTCTTCATTTTTCGCGGCGGTAGCCAAAGTTTCTTTCTCTCTTCTTGGCTTGAAATATCGAGAAAATCAATCGCTCGCAGCAGCAGCAGAAGGAGCAGCAGTAGCTGCTCCTTTCTTTCTTCTTCTCGCAAGCCGCAACTGCACTTTCTCACGCGTATATATTATACACTTGCGAGCGTCAGCGTATCTTCTACGATTTCTCACCATCGAGTTCCGGTTCGGTCTTCTCCTACGGCTGTTTATCATAATGTATATATCTTCAGATTATTCGCGCTTGTGCGGAAAACTTTTCGAGCTGCTAACTTTTTTCCAGAGAGCACGTTCTGATCTCTGATTTTCAAGGGACTACGAATAAAGAACTTCCTTGGTATGTATCTGTTTCCGTAGAGAGTTTTAACTAGGGAAATCTTGAAAGCATCCGATAAAAAAAGAAGAAATGTGATAAAAAAGACATTTCCTTACAATGTTTTGTAACACGTATCTGACTTCAAAATTAAATTTATTGGTTTCTGCGTAGTTAAATTGTTATGAAAATCTTAGTGCAATTTATTTTATTAAATGAGTACTTGGTTAAATAAATCCTATTAATTTTTAAACTAATATTCCGAGTTAACTAAGATACACAGAAAGAGCAAACTAATTGGTTCCGATAATACAACAAAGCTTTGTATAGGCAAATTTGATAATTGAAAACACGCCGGAAAGTGAAATTTTTTAAATGAACAACAGAAGGTTCTATCGACGCTTAATAATAAGCAGCTTAACCGCATCGAATGCTTGCAAAGCTATCGAAATTACACGGGTGGAGACGCTCGAAAGATCGTCGAGTCATATAATAGAGGTGTTACGAGTCCAAGAGAGCGCTTATCGATATGACCATACTTACTCCGCTTTTCTTCGCTCGCCCCAAGATTTTACACTTTGCCGCGCACAACCTGCTACTTCGCATGAACGACACGTGCTGCAGTTTCGCTCTCTTGCTCTTTTCGTGTTCAGAGCTGGGATAACCAAAGTTTCAGACATTAATTACAACGATTTGTATCGGAGACACGTGTTCGCCAATATATAGGGGAAAAGGTTGAGCTAGAAATCAAAATTAGTAGTATATATCAACGTATGGGGAGACCGAAAGATTCGCTTCTTAATATAATCTGATGTGATTAATAAGCAACGTTATTCATATAAATAGCAACTAACAAATCGAGAAAATAAATAAAATCGCGATCTTGAATTGAGTTTATTTTGTTGAAATAAGCGGTACTGTGCAAACACACATAGGAAGTTTTTTCGAAGATCGATTCCTCAATAGACTTTAAAAGTCAAAACAAACAAAGAATCACACAGATCAACGATCGCTACCGAACTACCCCTCGAATTCATCACTCGATCCTTCCGAATCTTGGCATTTCGCTTAATCGCCCCAAGGAAAATTTCTCTCTCATCCTCTATCACAAACATCCCGCGCGACGATGACAGTCGGCTGTCTTCGATAGCTTTGCCAAAGTTGCGCTTTGTTGGGAAGTTCTAATTATTTTCCAACGCTCGCAGAGAAGCCTCTTCATTAATGGATTTCGAAGGGGAAAGGCGCTCGGATAATTAAAAGTTACTACAGTCAGTCCTTGTGCGTTTCCGGATTAATGTGTTTGCTGAAGAAATGTTCTTGTGCTTCGATGATTCGTTTGATTTTTTTTCTTTCTCATTCTCTCCCCTTTTTCTCCGTGAGCTCAATTTTCAAGTGGGAGTCGAGTAGAATGTACCATTGATGTAGTTTTTCTTTTCTTTTAGTACTTTTTATAGCGGATCATTGTTAAATATATCATTTTCTTGTAACAATTATCTGATCAATGTTACAATCTGTTTCAGATATGTCATACAAGCCTCGCCATCCAATTATTGAGGGTAAGTAAACATTGAATAACAACATTTTATAACAAATAAAAACCGCAGTACGAATGTTTCACTGTTACTCACATGCACTATTAAATATACTATATTCCGCGCTCATATTTATACGAACATACTTTATATATATCGAGCAAAAAAAAAATGTCGACCACCTTGAAGCACACAAATCAACAGCATATCGCGACATTGCCTGCTGTACATTTTGCTATTCAAATAAAACAGCATACAAAATGTTTACTAGTTCCGACAAGTCTAATAACCGTCTATTTGATTTTCCATATGATAACGTTTCGAAATGCGACGTTGTCAGTTCGACAACCTTTCAGTCAGCCTCACTGGATTCGGTAGCGGTGGGCCATAGTATATATACCTGTATATGTCGCAAGTGTGTATGTGTGTGTGAGTGTATGCGCGTGTGTGTGTATGTGCATGCATGTTCCGGCCTCTGCACTAGCGCTGCTTGTTTGTCTAACCTCATTTGCAAAGCCAATAATTAACGGAGCACTGACAGCGCAGCGCCGTTAAAGTGACAACGTTTAGGGCACGTTATGTATCGGTCTTAATCGCTTGACGGTTAATCATCAGTCTTAAACTAAATTTGAATGAGCTACAAGCTATTTTCAAGATTGACTGCGCGTAGATGAACACCTTTTTGTGGTATATTAAGATTTCGATACTTAATGACTTTTTCAATTCCAAGTCTCCATGCAGCATCTTATCACTCTTTATTATTTTTAATCAACTCCTTCATAACAAAAACTTTACGAGCTAACGTAAAGCAATTTTCTGGATACGAGGTTGTGGCAAAAGATCGCTTCCTCTACGAAAGTTCACCCCTCTTTATTAAAAGCTCGGAAGCACACCAGCAACAACTCCTGGTCGTGCTCGTGGGACATTTTTTTCTTTTACCCCAACTTGTTAATATTATCGCACTTCATTAAAGGTATATCTTTAAGCACGAAATTTGATTGTTTTTCACTAGCACATGTCAGGAAAAATTGATATTATTTCTGGATAGAAGTTGGTCTTTCCATTTGCCAATGAAGTGTCACGAGTTGAATCTGCGCACGAACATCGAACGATTCACGGTAGTTCTTCGATAACTCAGAAAGAAGAATAGCCATTGGCGTAGATCGATCATAATTGAATTTGTCGGACGAGGGTACCCTGCTGAAAAAAGACTTGTATACTTCGATGGAATATTTACTAGCGGAAAAATAAATTTTACTTATCCAAGCGAGGAAGGTTTTTGCGTGCACGATATAGAAAAGATAATGGGTATATGTAGTATGCTTCATATGCTGACCAGTTTTAGTTTGAATAAGGATTTTGTAAAATTACCTAATGATGTTTCAAAAATATACATTTTTTTATTTCAATTTACTATAGAATGAGGAAAGAAGTGCAAAATTTTTCAATTGCTTTGAACATGCACACATCGATGTTTCCAGAAATTTTTGAAATTCTTAAGCCAAACATAGTTTCAACATTAATTTCATAACTCTTTTTCGAAGATTAGAAAAGTTGTAACTCAGAATGATAAAAGAGCCTCTAAAGTGATTAACTTGAAAGTTGGTAACGTTCGGAAAGTTAGTAAGAAGTTTCTTAAAAAAAGAACTTACGATAAACGCAAAAAAAGCTGAAGTATTCAAGAAACTTTTTTTCCGAGCCTTAGCTAGACGAATCTGTTATTATTGTTTCAAGATTCTTTGAAATCATCTCATTACGAAAACTTTTGCTAGAAGTTGATGAATTATGCGGCTTTGGATAGTGGACGAACAGCTTGCTACAACTTTTTACTTGCTGACTTGATAAATTTGTAAGTTAATTTTATTGTTTCCCTTCGACAAAGTATATTTTAATGGCTACGAAGTATTACCATAGAATTTTGACTTTGACATTTAGTAGAAAAAACTATGGGAAAATAATAAATTGCGTCCATAAATGTATCTTGTCATACGTTGATATCAATATTTGAATCGATTCAGACGAATAAACAGAATTTAGTCAGCCGAAACGAAACGTACACACATAGATCTACGATTTCTATTCATAAACGACGCACACAATCCAATTGCACATTAAACAGAGTCGCTCTCATTACTAAAGCATCTAAATCTCATGCTGGTCGGGAGTGGAAAAAAAGGCATACATAAAAGCAAATGCAGCTCGCGGAACTTGAGTATTACCCGGGACAGGAGGTTCGCTGGAAGATTTATGACTCGCGAGGGCCACGGACCATCAGTCGCGTAAACGTTTCAACTGTACATACCCGCACACACGCATACACTTAAACGCACTACGTGTATGCGTGCAAATCGAGCGCGTCCAACGGCGACAACGACAACAATAGGGAGAGAGATCCCTTTTAGCGGGTTATACGATTTTGCTCAACGGCCGCGACGACCCGAGACGCTCGATGGATTTCCATCGCTGCCGAGCGAGCGCGGCGTAGAGCAGTATCGGGAAATCAGCTGGAATGCCAGTGAAAGCGTGCGACCAAGCGAGTTACGAGGTTGCCGCGTTTCCCTCGCCAGTAACGGCCTTTTCGTTGTGTGTGTGCAAGTCAATACGCTGCTGTTGGAAAAACAAAACAATGGTTATTTTTTAAACCAGCCAACTGTTTTTTAAACTTCATTTTTTATGACTACGGCTTTACTCAAGATGTATATGATCTATGTATTGGATGAATTTAGACTTTTTTCTTATGGTATAAATATTTTTGTTTCATGTTTTTTTCATGCAAAGATAATACAAGTTTTATTTGAAAATTTTTGCGGAAAAATTGAATGGGTTGGTCTCTTAATAAACTTGCTTCTAAAATCTCAACTGTTAAATTCCCTTCGCAGTATTTTCTACCCTGCGTAATTTACATCAGAAAGTCCACATATAAAAAGAGAAGGTCGACCTCAAAATTTGTAGAATTTGCTCGAGATTTTAGTAACGTCACTATTATGATTTGCGCGGTACGGGCGATAAAAGAGACTCAAAAAAAGGATGGGCAGGGAACCCGCGTTCAGCCATAAATGCGCGGTAAAAAGTGAAAACAAAAAACGCCATCGAAAAAAAACAATAGCTATAGAGCCGAAATAACAAGATAAATCCAACCTAAAAAAAAGAGATGGAGAATTCCACCACCAACAGCAGCAGCAGCAGAAAAATGACGCATGAAAAAGCGAAAAACTGCAAGAGGAGGAGTAGGAGACACCGATAAATTACAAAAAGCAGAATCGCTTCTGCAGAAAAGCTTTTGAAATTCTTGGTGTCCTTGAAGTTCGAATTTACTGGCGCGCCAGAATTAACGACTAGCAGGTCCGATGCCTTTTATGCGCACTACGCCTTCGCTAAAAAATAAGAGCAAGGAAATATTTGAAGCTAAGTCTTTTTAATTTATGCTTCATTTTTTCATTTTTCTCGCGCGCAGCTTGATAAAAATGCTGAGAGTGTGCTTTTGAAGTACTTTCAGTTAGCAGCATGTCGAAAACTTTACAGCAGATGCACTTTTCAAGGATAAATGTTTAATTTAAAGTTTAAAGTTTTTAATTATCCGTGCAAGAAGTAGGACCCATAATTTATGAGTATTTATGAAGAAATGGATTTAAAATGCAGTCTCTCTTTCGACGACAGGTTTTGAAAACCATAAAGATCATAAAAGATAAGGTACACAATAACCATTGAGCATATGCACCTTACAAAAACGCAACAAGAATCCCATGCGCGAGAGGAAAGAGAGAGAGTTCGGTTAAGAAATTGCCTTTCGCGTGCAAAGCCAACTAGAAGCTGTGTAGGAAAGTAACTTCTGCAGCAACATGAAACGCGTCTTCTTTCTTCTTTCTATCTCTCTTGTTTCAACTCCTTCTTTCTACCCTCTTTCATGTGCTTACAGGCGCGCAGCAGCAGCAGCTACGGTAGACGTTTGTTTCCGCCTGAATATCTGCCTCTTCCCATAGCGCCATTGGTGTTAACTTTTAACAAAGCCCTCCTCCACATCCCCTGCTCCCACGACGCACTAGAAGATCAAAGTCGTGAGAATGCAAAAAATACTGCCAGGTAAAATGGAGTTTCAGAAATTTGCTAGCTTCGATCGTGCTTTTGTTACTGTTTTTTATTTCTGTTTATTCAATCCGAGTTTAAATACTAAATTCCACTACTGTCTCTTCTGCAAAGTAGTGAAATATTTTGAAATACGTAAACACATATATATATATATGTGTGTGTGTGTGTGTGTGTGTATATATATATATATATTTATAACAGAATCAATTATTTTATTTTAAAAATATAAGAATGTAACAAAACTCGAGCATTAATTTGATGTTAGAAATTGCATTTTCTACAATTGCTGAAAGTTATAATTTAGTACCTTTTCAAAGAAGCTATAAAAGGCTTTTTCCCAGGGTATTCAGTAGCATATTTAGAATTTCAGTCTTTTGTTAAATTACGTAGGGTAAATTTATGCTGAGTGTGATTCATAGTAGAGTATAGCTAACTTTATAAAGAATGCGAACAAAGCTGAGTTGCCAAATTGCAGCTGCTGTTAGTCGTAATACAGTACGTCACGTAGTAATAATGTAACGTCATAAGTGGTGCACATAAATATTTAACTGTAATCTACTGTTGGATCATTATTTCAAAATTTCTTTGAATTTATATTCGATAAACAAACAATTGTAGGCATAATCGAGTATCTCTTCTAAAAAATGCACAAACAATATCAGACACTTATACGGTAAGTTTTGTTAAAAATTTCCAAGAAAAATAAAATAACCATCTAGAAATAGAAAAGAGATACTGACAGACGGAAGAATAAATGCGAGTGACAAAAAAAAGAAGACTGAAAAAGTAGACGCGCGAAGCACCTCGGAGATATGAAAGAAAAAGGTTGTGATAGTGGCGGAGGGGTGAAGGCTGCCTAGAAACCTGAGTACTTCCTTTCAAATTTATGGAACGACATACACAGACTCTTTTTTAGATAGAAAATATATAAGAAGAAA